GCAGAGGTAACACTAAAAACACCTTGTAGTTTTTATATACATATGTGTATAGAAGAGTTTTGCCTGATGTGCTCTCATTTATGATTTTATTGAGTACTGATGCCTTAATTTCCATTAGAAATGATTGTACGTGTTGCTGAGTTTGATAGATCAGTGAAGCAGTCAGTTCCTTTGTGAAATAGAGATGAGTGAGTCAGACATTAAGCCAACTGTAGTTTATAGTTTTATTTATTTGATAGTAGTTTTTTGGGGGGATTGCACTTCTTCAAAGCTTTGCTTGTATTTAAGCATTTTAAATGGAATAAAACAGCTTTTTAGAGATTAACATTTTAAAATTTGTTATAGATTCATCTTTATACCGTCCCATAAAGATTTTTTTTTATATCCATTATTTTATTTATTTTTTTAAATCAAAATGTAGACAAAAAACACTGCAGTGGATTTTTAAGTATCACCTTTTCACTGTTGTAGAAAATATCTCAATGTACCGTGTTTAACATTTGAGGCAGTATTGCCCATCCCTGCAATCTTTCTCCACTATTATTTTGTGTCTTGACACAAATTTAAATATTAAATGTTTAATATCCTACAGTTTTAACTTATTTTTGTATTCATTCTATTTTTCTGTCATCATCTGTTTGCAAGACTTAAAATCTGTTTAGAATTATTCTTCACTGACAAATCACGGGTTTTATGAGCTTTTAATCCTCAATTTGCATGTAGGTTTTTGTAACTACTGAATGTGCACAAAAAATGCTTACTATATATTGTAAGGATCAAAGAGATCAATATATCATATGGGATTACTTCAAAGGGGATATGTTTGTGTGTCCAGGGACAGGACCAAAAGTAAGAAGTTCCCAAAGGTTTTATTTTAAACTTCCTTTAATCAAGCATTTTTATTTTGTGAAACAAAGCAAAACCGTAGATTTAAGGGTAGGGGTAAACTTTATTTTTATACAGAGGCACATTAGGAACAGATGATTTTCCCAATGCTCTTTTATCATGCTGCTCACTCCTCCACATGCTGTGCGGCCAAATGCACTGGTGCAATTATTAAATATGCATCAGAAATGTTCTAAAACACAGAATCTGCATTGTAGGAGAAGGAAAACATATGGTGTAATATGCACATTTGCATACTTTAATGGAATCCGTCTTATTTGATATCAAAAGAACAGCTTTTGTACAACCCTGAAGTAAGGCAGATCTTTGGGACTTAAATGTGATGTTGTTTGTTAACATGACAAACACACTCAGGATACTAAGATCTTACTCAAGTCATCAGGTTAAGCTGGGTACAAACCTTAGTAAAAAAAAAAACAACTTATCATTTCTCTCTGTTCTTTCACATGTTGCATTTTCCCACCCAATTATGTGTTTTATTTACATTGTTTCAGAAGAATATTGAAATTAAATCACACCAAACATAATGTTCTAGTGACAAGTTGAAAATCTAACCCCTGTGGTGCTAATAACTAACAATTATGGATATGAATTGGCAAGAATTCTTCATTTTGTATCACGATACATGTGTTACAACACGATTTGTCCAATTATATCCCCCCAAAAACATAACCAAAGGTCATATATTGCGATGTTTAGAAGATTAGAGCTCTGGAAAACCTCACAAGATCTCGTTACTTACTGTGGCTGGTGCAGAGCTGCTAAATAATAGTTTCTTGGGTAATGAAATACAAGACAATCTTTACTGCCATAGCTAATATTTTAGCCATAAAGACGTGATCACTTTACACTGATGCACATTCTGAAATTATATTGAAATTTACATTTAATTAAACTTCAAATTTTGCAAATCAAACTAGCTAAGACTATGAGTTATGAAGAAAAGGAGCATTTGGGAAGTGATTCACAGCAGGTCCAAAATATCATTTCCCCTTTCACCATAAATGGATCTAATTGATTAAAATCTATTACACGATAATAAAATATATATTCTTCAATTTCCAACAATGATATAACCGAATTAAAATGATTTAAATAAATAAATATAGGACATTTTTATCACAGTCCCTCCACCGGTCACTTAAATCAATAAATTAATATCTCTCATATAAGTGTGAGGTACAGGTAAGATAGTTAATGTGTAAGATACCCTGGTTTCAGTGGAAAGGTGTCCTTTCTGCGTAATTGTGCAGCTAGTTTAGTGGTAAACTGACTCTTAAACAGAACCATGTATGTTACACAGCAAAATGTATGAACTCCCAAATAGTTAAACAGTATTTAAATGGTAATTAAACAGGAAGTAAATGGATTCCAGTTGATCATTAACACAGAGTTGTTAGTACAGCACATTAAAGAAATGAGAGTATACTGACTCATTCTGCCCAGACTGCAACAGTGACTGTTTATGTAACGCCACGTCAAGGAATTAAACATGAACCAGTCTAGAGACAGTTTTTCTTCTCTTTATTCTGGTAAGAATAAAGAGGTTTTATATACATTGTATGATCTTTGGATTTATCAGCTTAAATAATAGGATCGCTGCAGATGCAAAGGTTGACCCGCCACGACCTAAAAACAACAACTCTGAACGACTAAATTGTGTGCTGCTGCCGTGGGAACTTGTTCTGGCCAATTGTTTCTAGAGCCTCAAAGCAGACCCCTTCACAAACAGTGGATTTCTGCCGAAGAAAGGCCCTCTTTGTGCAAGCCTAATGCGAGGGAAATACAGTTGCTTAGCAGACATACTTGTTGAAATCATATGACATCTCCCTCTGTCTCTGTTTCCAGTCAATTTTCTGTTCCAGCAGAAAAGGTGGGGAAGACATTTTTATCCCCCCTGGAGTCCTCACTGCTTTCTGATCTCACACACTGATCTGGTCTGAAAGTCTTGTCTTATCCTTCAGCGTTGACGTTGTTTTAGGTTGTCATGTGAACTGGCATGGCCGTCGATCCAGCTGTATTATTGGTGGTTACAGTCAGCCTTCGCACTGCGATATTTAACCTTTCTCCTCTTACAATTTATTTGTTACACCCTCCTGATTTCCTTTCTACAAACCTGCTAAAAACGCCAAAACTCATTTGTTTTTTGTACTCTGGAGATCGATGGCGGCTTGACATTAAAGAGAGGCCAGTTAAAGGGATCATCCCTTCAGTTCTAACAGGGCAGAGAAAGCTGCTGGAGGACTAATACTACTGTATGCCTTTGCATCAGGGTAAGCAGAACAAGAACAGATAATCCAAGATGATCAACAATGAGACATTTTAGTGAAATAAGCAGTTCTTGTCAGGTAGTGCAAATTGCAGTTTAAGGCCTTCTTTGTCAATTTGTAATTTAGGAAATGGCTTCATTGTTTTCCCTTGGGGGTTGATTGTGCAGCAATAGCTTTAGTTTGGGTTGTTTATGCTGCAAATTAGCCAGTCAACAATCAATTGCTGAACGTCTTGAAGGAAAAAAAAAAAAAGCAAGAAAAGCTTTTATGGTGAGGCTGTTGTTTGTTCAAGACTTGTGTCCTTTTATTGTTGACAGAATCATTGCTGCAAGCACAACGGCATAGGTTTGACTTGCACAAAATACGCCGAGCTTGTGGATTTGAGAAAGATTCAGGTGTCTGCACTGAGCCTCCGCTCCCTCTACAGAAAGAATACCAGGCACCGCCGTAAGTAACTCTGCGGTTGGCTTGATTGACACGTGAGGCCTTACAACCAGCCATTCGAGGCACATTTTAAAATTGATCTCACATTGCCAGCCGCTGGCCCACGTGCTCCTGGTAGCTTCCAAAGAAAATAAGCAGCGTGACATCAGGGCTTTGTTTCAGCAGTGAGGCCCCTTCTGTTTGTGTTTAATATCGCTCAGAGAAAAGTGGAAAGGCAGCCAGCCAGCTTCTATTGCTCTGACTGCTGAGCTTGGCGCTTTGGCAGCAAAGTGACGGTGGTCTTGTGTGTCTCCTTTGCAAAAAAAAAAAAAAAAAAACCTCTATCCTCGCTCTCCCTCTTTGTTCATGAGTATTTCTTTGCTCTTGGATCTGCGCTCCCGGGAGGCCTCGCAGTTTGGACTGCAGGGAAATCAGATCTCACAACACTGGGGGCCAGTTGGGGTTAGAGGGGCAGACAGTGAAAACACAGAAAATAAAACGGTGATGGAGATCTAGGGAAAACGATATGAAAAATGATTTCTGGAACCAAACCGAGTGTCAGAACACAAGTGGAGAGAGGAAAAGGGAGATCAAAAGAAAGCAGGGTGAATTTATAACAGAACTTTTGAGGGAAGGGGAGAGTATAGATGAGGTGAGAGTAATGTAGAGGGAGAGAAAAGCAGAAGAGAAAGAAGTGAGAGAATCTACTGAAGGCCAGCCATGTCTGGGTGGTTTTCCTGAGGAGAGGCTCTTTGATTCTCCAGCACTCGCACTCCAATGCGTTCAGACAGGAGTTGACAGTGGTTTCGGGCAGCGGTTTGTCTGGCCAGCAAGCTTTGATTTAGAAGACCCTGGACGGTGGGCCGAGTATTTGGCTCTTTGATTTTTACTAAGTACTTTGGATGGAAAGTTAGCTCTGTTTTTCTTTCTTTCTTCTCCGTCTTTTTTTGTAATTAGTTTGGTGTTTTTATCCAAACCAAAGGCTCATGTGTTCCAAGCATTTTTCTTTTTCTATTATTCAGTTTGCCCTGTTTTTTTTTTTTTTGCTAAATACTACTTCTCCAATCTAAATGAAAGCAGAAGTGAAGAAATATACCTTTATATTTGATTTTCTTCCACTTTACAAGTATGAACTACTTGAGGTATCAAAAAATACAAACAATAGGTTTGATAGACGATTGTGGTCACTAGATATAAGTGCTTTTCAAGGCATTTGAAAGGTAAGCTGTTCACGTGTGTCCAAGGAAACTCCAGGGAGAACAAAATTGATGCTTCAAATAAAATAAGTAAGGGTGTGTATGTGTGTGGAAGAAGAAAAGATAAAAGAAAAAAGCCACTGACGAGCTGCTGGGGAACAATGTTAATAGGCTGTTGGTTTTTCTGGTTTTTCCTCTTTTGCAGCAGCTGTATGCCGCACAGCTGGCAAGCATGCAGATCTCACCAGGAGCCAAGATGGCTCCCCTCCAACAAGCTCCTAACTCCTCCGGTCCTCTTTCACCACCCAACCTCAAGAGTGAGAAACAAGTATCCAGCCCCGTCACTCAGATTAAGGTACGTGAAAATCTGAAAGCGTTAACATTTAGGGACCTACGCGTATAAACCAGGGCTCAGCAGAATCATATGTGATTATTGGGAGAGGGTTAAAAAAATAAGCTTACTGAGTCAGTAGTTCATGCTGGTTCCCTGTAATTAATAAGTGTGAAGTAAAACGGCGTCTTTATGTGTGCAACAGACAACATAATAACACAAAGGAAAGAGTGAGTTCAGAATCTGTGTTATGGGAAAACACTTAAGACGGATGATTAGTGCAAAGTTAAAGTGAGAGGCTGGAAATTTGGAAGATATTAAAACGATGATCTGTGCACGGCTCAGTGCTCTTCACCGTCAATTAGTAGCAGCTTATTTAAAAGTCGCACACTCACACACACACACACGCATACACCCCCCCACACACACACACACACTGACATTGGCGCTGGCTGCTGTTTGGCAGAAGCCCAGACCTCTTCACTGGAGAGAGCGTGCGCCTCATCTTTACTCAACAACCAGGCAGTAATGGAAACCATATGTGTGCGTGGGGCACAGCTGCAGCCGGCGTCACAATAGGCCGGCGTCAGAGTTCGGCGTACTAAAGCAGCAGTGCCCCACCCTCTACTAACCTTTACTCTGCGCGTACTCCTTGGTGCGTCATTTTGGCATTTTCTTCAGAACAAGTCTTATCTGAAACTCTTCGCCTTGACTCACATCTAAATCATGATTTATTTGTAGCCAAAACAAAAAACTTCAACCAGACTCTAATCCAGTGCATGAATTTTGTTGTTTTTGTTTTCAGTGAAAGCTGTTACTAAAAAAGTGCAGATGGTTGATAAAAAAAATAGTAGTTTCATTTAAAACTATATCCAAAATACAGGCATTCTGTCCATGCTTCTTTCATGTTTTTTGCTGTTTGCAGATATTTAAATAATTGAATTCATGTTCCTAACATTAAACAGGGTATTTGTAGAATCTTGAAGTAACTGTTTTTAGTTTCTTGGTTCAGCTGCTCTGTCACATCCAATTCTGATGTCTATCTGACATGTGGAATTAAGAAATTATTTAATTAGAATCCATCTGAAATGATAACATTAGCCTGAAAGATATCAACAAGCAAAAAATTATGCACTTACCTTAAGAATTTCATTAACAGAAGACAAATAAAGTTATTAACATCTGTCATTGTGGGAAGGGTCCTAATTCTCTGCCATGTCTAAAGTTTTGGGGCTCTAACAGACCACAGTGGGAGCCATCATTCACAAATGGGGATATCACAGAACAATAAATTACCTTCCTAGAAGTGGCAGACCAGCAAAATTACTCTAAAAGTGCATCTATGACTCTTCCAGGAGGTCACAAAGAGACCAACATAAAAAGCACTGGCCTTATTTACTAAATTGTTCAAGATTAATTGTTTAAAAAGAGAAGATCTTTTGTCTCTTTTCTAATGTCTCTTTTTTAATGTGGTGGATCAAAGGGGAGAACAACTGCTGACCAAAGCAAACAAAAGTCCATCTCACATTTAATTAGGGATATCTAAATAATCCACTGACCGCTTTACAAAAAGTTTCGTGGAATGAGAAAACAAAGGAGAGACATCTTTCCAAGTAAATTGCTAAGAAAAGATCGGCATTCTTCAGTTTATAATGTGGGAGGACACGATGGAGAGCTCACCAGTAGGTCCATCATCGAACCCACCCCCAAAGATAACAGTTTTTTGGGTTTTAGAGTGGCCTAGTCAAAGTGAACTGACTATGAGGAGGATCAACCTTAAATCTGTGGCATGACCTCAAAGCTTGTTCATTCTCAGCCCCACCACCCCAACAACTCTGCTGAATTTATACAGTGCACTAAAGCAGTGAAAAACACCCATTGCCAGTTTTCACAAACAGCTGATGACAGTTATTACAGCCAAGTGTGGCAGAACCAGTTATTTATGGGGCACTTACTTTCTCACCTTCCCATAGGTTGACAGTTTATCCCTCATTAAATAAAGCACCGTTTGAAAACTTAACAGTCATAACGCCACGTTATATTTCATCTTAAACAGAGATGTGAACAAAAAGAAAAGGAAGGATCTGAAAGCAGAAGGTTAGACCATGAAATTACTAACATCCTTGTCCTATTTGTGAATGATCAGTTGATGCGTGAGAGGAATTCTGAACAACGATCTGACAAGTTCCAACAAGCTGTGAAGAAAAGTATAACAGATCCTCTATGCATTACATTTAGGTTCTTACTATTTTTCAATTTTCTCAAAATGCTCAGTTACTGAGATTAATGTCAGTTTTGCTCAAACTAGGGGTGTAAATAACATCTATCATGGCGATTCGATTCAGTATCAATTTCCTGACCCAACGATTCGATTATTTTCAATACTCAAGAATACACCACGATTCGATTCGATTAGATTCGATTCGATTAATTGGTTCTTTTCTTTTTTTTTTTCTTTTTTTTTTAACACTTTACAGGCTAGACAATGTTTCAAATTTGAAATAAATCAATGAAAGCTATAATATTGTTAAGCTTTTTTTTTTTTTGAGAAACTACAGAAAATAACAGAAGTAGAAAAGTTGCACTCCACCTATTCCTATTAAAACCTCATTCACTGAAAAATAATAATACCCCTGCGTTATAGATTCTGCAAGGCCTTGCATCAAAAAATACTGCACAAAATCAGTGCAACGAGTGCAATGAAATACCTCAGCTCCAGACGTCCCCGCCCCCTCCACAGACGCTCCGCTGCACCTCTCCCAAATTGTAGCTGACGGCAGACATTGCCGCAGACAGGAGGCCGGCTTGTTTTGTTTTGTATGACCGAAATTGCGGAAAACAACTCGTGAAGTTTGGCAGCACGGGAGGAGAATTACGTCCAGGAGCAAATGGCTGAATATAGACCGGAGGAAAAAAAACAAAACATGAATCGATACTCTTGCGGACGTATTGATGCATCGGATCATCGGCTGTTGGATCGATGCATCGATACAAAACGATTATTATTTACAGCCCTAGCTCAAACAACATAATTTTCTTTAGGTGCACTTCACAATGTATGACAATCTGACTAAAAGTGTTGAAAATTCACAACAAATCTGTGAACCATGCTGGGGGTGCATGATATATTCAAAACGTACATCGTGATAACATCAGGGGGCTATATTTATGCCTGTTTGAAGTGTGGCAACCATTGGCCATATATTCCACCTATTATAAATGTGTATTTAACACATTAAGTGGGGTTTAGCCTCTTGGGCCGAGTTTCAAGGCACCAAATGCTGACAGGCTAAAAATCATGAAGCCCTATTCCACCAGTCCTTAACAGCATGTTTCCAAGCAATACAAGGCCTTGCCTATATAAAGCCTCAAACTCACTGCTGATCCAGACATTTCTCATTTGAATTGAGAAAACTTCCTGGAGGGGAAGCGAAACGTCTTCAAACCTTGGAAACCAAGTCCAGTGGATTGTTTTTAAACTTTTACGGAATTGCCATTTAGGCTGTACCTCGCCTCTTGCCAGTTGACCTGACCATGGCAATGGATATTCTGATGCGCTCCTTGTTAATACGGCCATCTTTAGTAAATTGCATGTCTTTTACAGGCATTCATTTCAAAATATAGAAGATGTAAAACTAGCAAAATCCCACCATATTTGGAAAGTTAAAGAAACTTTAAGATAAAGTTCAAAGTGAACTTTATCTTAAGTAAAATGTTACAAAGTATGTGGGGCTTCCATATTTGCAGCCTACTAATGCCAAAACAAGGCTACTGTCCATTGTTACAATGGATGTAAATGGCAGACTAGACCTTACCAAGGGTTTAAGAACAGCAGCCTATTTAATGTATGCTTCTTCAGGCCATTTTGGTGCTGGTTACTAGGTTAAAGTTTTACATCTTCTAAGTTTGAAGTAGCTTTTCTTTTTTTTT